TGAAGAAAAAAAACCCAACCCCAGCCACTTTCTCAAAGCTTCAATTTAAATGCTTTCCACTGTACCACCAGGAGGAGGTATTTTTATTTGTTCTAAAGAGTTCAGACTCACTATAGGTGGATAAAGACCTCTGCCCTTCTCTGCAAATAACAAGACAACTTGCATTAACTGCAAATACACAGCTTTTTTGGTGTTGTTCTTCCCCTGACCATTTCAGAGATGCAGCAGCTCTAACATTCAGGAACTATTTTTCTCCCTTTATCTTTTAAAGAAAACTGAGGCAATGGTTCCTTAAGGCAAATGATTCCCAAGGGCAGAGAATACAATCTGGACATAATTTGGAGCAGGGAGCAGACCTAGTCTTTTGGCTCACCCCCAGAAGGAGCAAGGAAAAGCTCACAGACATACTGCTTGCATTCCTATATGCACCTGCAGAGGATGTTTAAAAGTTAACACACACTTTGGGATATTACCATTAAAGAAAGCATATGTCTGGTGAGGTTGCTTTTATTTATTACTAAAAATGATCTTTTTCAGTTAAAAAATTACAAAATAAATATACCTTCATCTGGATTAATGATTATTGCTTAGTCTATGGACATACTGGCAGAGAAACACTACTTCAATGACATCCTTACTGATAAAAGACTTAAAGCTGTCATATGCAGTTACCCAAGTTTCCTCCTCATTTTCGGAAAGGTGAACTAGAATCAGACAATGACTGGGATAGAACAGATAAGCTCTCTCAGACAAAACACAGGAATGCACTTTCACACAGCAGGCCTATCTGGAGACCCCAGCACTCACACAGGGGACTACAGAAGTAATTAAAAGAAAGCTAAAATTCCAGTGCTTGGAGCTCTAACACACCATCCTGCTTAGCTAGCTACAGCCTTTCAGCCTTTTTCCCCTCCTGTAGCATAACACATTGTACTCCCACTGAAGACTTGCTGGTGTGATTGACAAGGCAAGATAAGTATTTTATGGCACTTCAGTTTAAATACCATTGAATGACTTTCCCCCACTCCCCCCCTTCCTCAAAGACAAATGAACATCTGTCTAATTGAGGCTGCCAAAGGCAGCCTTTTAAAAAGAGACCACAAAGCCCCCAGCCCTGGTTAAATCCAGATGGCAAATGAGTGTGTCAGAAGGTAGGGATGTGATGCAGCATGCCTTAAACAACTAGGAAAAACACCTGTAAATTTATTAGAAGAGAGAGGGAAGGTTTGTGTATGAATGTTAGTTACCACTGGGGGAAGGACACATTATTTTACTCACCTTGTTGAACAGTGTCACCGATAAACCAGGAACGATATTCCTCATGAAAAGCTTTTACTTCAAACAGCTGCTGTGCACCACTATTGAATAAGTAAAGGGTTGCTTCCCCTGTTGAAAAGAAATCTGGTTTGTGTTTGTAAGCTTTCACAAAAATCAAAAGAATACCAACTACATCTGAAGAATGTGCCCTATATACATACAGACACACAAACATACACACATTCTACATAAACTCACTACAAAGAAAGCTCAGGCAAAGAAAACTATTATATACAGATGTTAATTTACCAGCTCTATAAACCAAACTGAATTTAAATCAATAAATAAGATGTGTGAATAGTTCATCTTACAACACAAAGCCTTTGATCCAAACCCAAATCAAAATCACTAAAGAAATCAGCTTTTGACTGTACTGAAGGGCAAAGGTGGAAAAGAACATTAGTTCTCCTTCCATCATGTTGTCTCCAAGTTATCTGACTCTGGGTTTAGGAGAACAAAAGTCTGGTCTCAAACCTTAAAAGTGCCAATTTGAAATAATTTGGGGGGTTGTGCATCAAAATGGATTGCTGATGACTCAGTAAGGCTAAACAAGGTGAACAAGGAAGCTAAAAGAACTTGCTTCAAAGTGCTCATCAGAATCTTGATAGGTTTGGAAAGGAAAGCTCTATTTTAGGCCACTTCGTAGCACAGCTCTGCCATTTCACATTAGTTCTGCATTATAAAGAAAGGGTAATGATTATGTTGCAAACAGGATGGACGTTTTCTTTATCTAAATCAGGAAGTTGACAGAATTATAAGAAGGGGCCACTGAATTTGGTCAGTTGAGTCCATTGGCTGGACTGGTGTTGTCTTGATCCATCTTCAAGAGACAAAGGCAACTACAGCATAGCAGTCCTGCTCAAAATAAATAAACTGAAAAACTGCACTGACTTGCTGGTCATTGGCTGGCTCAAAAAAGTCTCAGTGTAAGGCCCTGCAGGCTGACTTCAGCACTTCTGTTCTCAGTCTTCAGAGATCCATGGGTGTGGAGGGAGGTCAGCTATCTCCCTGTCTCCCGCAGCCAGTGAAACAAAAAGTCGGTGAGAATTCTTAAGAAAAAAAAAACAAAAGAGACTTTCTTCTACTTTTCCAACCTGCCGTGGGCTGAGGGTGCTGCCCCCACCACCCAGCCAGGGGGGGTCGGGTTTGAAGCAGGGGAAAGTGATGTATTTTGGTATTTTTGTATTTCGGTATTTTTGTATTTTTGAAAGTGATGGCAGACAGGACTTCCCAAAAATTACTGATAACATATTTTTTATCCTTTATCCAAAAGGATTACCATATTTTAACCTCACCTACAGATATCCACATAGTTTCAGTTGTATGATATTTTTTCTTTTGGAAAGGGGAGAAAAGTACATTTAAAGTGGAGCAGAGGGTTCAATCATTACCATGTGCTTCTCAACAAGGGTCTACAATATAGTTTGATGAGCACCAGACATCAAACTACTCACAGAAGTGCTCACTGAATCTTCGGAAAGGGACCACTCCTGTTGCCTAATTCAGTTCCGTAATTCATTTGCTCATGTCACCACAGGTTCCCAACAGTGTTGTTAGACAGAAACTCTAGGGGATGGAGAGAGAACCTAGGCAGCTTTGCTCAAAACTTTACCACTTCAATTAGCTGCTTAAGTCTTGTGGTATGGTTATTTCCCTTCTTTTAGCTCAGCACTTTGAAAAACGGTTCTTGTGGTAATTCTGCATTGCAGGCTGAACCCTAGTTTACAGTCTCTGTAAGCGATAGAAATTTTGTCCTTTTTACCTGTCTGTGAAAAGGACCATGCATGCTTTTATTTAATCATGTGGTTAGCATTAATTCTGTAGTGTGCTGAGTCCTTCAGTGTGTATTTATACAATATCTGGCACCAACAATTCATCACTTAAGATACAAATGTAAGGAAAATACATTAATAGGGTGTTCTCAGTCCTTCTGTTTTCAGACCCTATACTTATAATAGGCTACATAACTGAAAGTTTATGAAGATCTATAAATAAGCTCCTGTAAATTCTAAACGAACACACCCGGACAATTACTGCACTTTAGGTTTTCCCCAGAAACCTCTCCCAAGACCCCTGACTCTACAAAGTAAACAGATCTTTTTTTCCACAGAGAAAAGCAAATTAGTATCTATGCTTTTAAAATATAATACAGCAGGTAGAAATTATCCATGGCTATATATTCCCACTGTAAATCTGAGCAATCAAAACACAAAAATAATGATAAGTGATTTCACATTCTGTATCTATTGGTTTTAATTAATTCCCTCTTTCAAGACTGAATAGTAGTGACTGTATTTTAATATTAAAATGCACCTGAAGACTTTAATTACAAACATTTATAAATATGAGCAGTGGATTCCGAAACAAAAAAATACAACAAATCTATAGGAACAAATGACCTTACGAAAGGAAAAAAACAAACACATTAAACGTGTTTTTCAAACAAAATGTTAACCCTAACAAAGGCTTACTGCCAGTTTCTGTTGCAGTATTTCATACTCCCAATTATTACATTACTCATATAATAATAAATCCTTGACAAAAAGAACAATCTGACTAGAAGAAAGTAACTGTGGGATGGTGGTGTCATTATATCACCTGAATTTGCTGGTCTATCCAATGCATTTTGAATTCAAAGTGCCTCTATTAACAAGAAAAAAGACACCACCACTTGGACCAGGGAAAGAAGGATTTTAGACTTAAAAATGAAAAGAGTCAAAAAGCTTGGTAAGTATAACTGAATCACTTCTTCTAATTATATTTATTTTATAGCATAAGAAGAATGCTATGAAGCCTAAATTTGGATTAAAAAAAAATCCTAGGTTCAACACCCAACACTGTAAGCTTCTCAAAACTAATGTATTTAAAAACAGAACTTAAATTACACCTCTTTTTTGTGCTGCCAACGTTTCTGATGAATAAACAGTTCAACCAATTAAAATTATAAAAGAAATCCTAAATGTTTGCACAGAATTAACTATCTGGCATCACCAGCAGTATCTTTGGCTCTTAAGACTTATATTATCATCATTATTTCAGCTTGCAAAATATGATTATTTTAGTGGTGGAGGTACTCAACCAGAACATTAACAGGCTCATGTCACAATTCCAAAACTTGCCTGTGCTTGGATTGCGCAGTTTTGTAAACAAAGGTTCGCTGTCAGGTGTCTTAGGGGACTCAATAGCAGCCTCTGTAGGGGGAGAGGAAAAAGTTATCAACCTGTAAATTGAGAAGTAATTCACATTCTGCTATGCTTCTCCTAGACATTCAGAATTAATTGGATTGACGCTTTTTGAAAACTCACATATTTTCTGCCTAAAAGTTATATCCCTCAGCCCAAATTCATCCTACCTGACCAAGGCATCTAAATTATGATTCCAGAATTATTGGTACTCTATATCTGCCACAGGAAAGATATGCACCTGGGGATGATTTAGAGAACCACTTCTCTCTAGACAGCCTCAGGCAACAGAGCTCCTAAGCTTGACATCTCAGTTAAGTGAGATGAACAGATATGTTGCCCTGATCAGTCACAAAGACAATGAGAATGTCTGGTAAGTTAGGCCAAGCACAGCGTGAACACAAAAAACTTAAAAGCGCAAAAGGTAACACATTTGTGGGAAGAAACAGTGGTCCTCTAAAGCTTTTGGGAAGTCAGACCATGCAGGAATATGGGCAGGAATTGTCTGAGTGGTGGTTACTTCTGTGAAAAATACGCACACTTGTTTATATGTTATGTATGGTCTTCAAAATAAAGAGCGTGTTTAATTCACCCAAACAGGAAAAAGAAGCTGAGAATACAGCACCTCCAGCTTAAGCCTCTGACAGTTGTTTTCTGTGTCTTTAAGGGGGGGAGGAAAAAAAAAACCAAAACAAAAAGCAGAGCCACAAAAGTACTAATTCTCCCTGAAATGTAAAAGAATAATAATATAAAAAAAAATAAACAGGTCCCACAAGGATGTTGATTCATGTCTGAAAAAACATCTATAAGGATCACCAGTTAATTATATTCTATCCAAGTTCCCATAGTAGAGAAGGTCTAACTTACATTTAGGAAAACAACTTTCCACATCTCAGTGAAGAACAACATGACAGCATCATCTTTCTTAGCTTGCACACTGCCAGTTGTGTCCTAGCTCCTTTCATATAGGCCTTCACCAGATTTAGGAAAATTACTAAAGCATTTCACATACATAAACAGTATCCAGACCCCAGAGAATGGACTGGCAGGGACAGGGCTGACATTTGTGTTATGGTGCTGCTAAGGAAAGCAGAGAGGAGCAGCTGAGGTGGGCTGCACAGCTATTCACAAGGGAGGCTGCTGGAAGGAACAGTATCCAGAAGGTTGAGGGGAGGGAGACAGCACAGTTCTTCTCTATGGAAAACAGGAACCTCAAGTACAACTAAAAATAGCTGTCGTCCACTCTGGCTGAAAGCCTATCCCAAACACACCCAGAAAGGATAAGTGGACTTCTCACTGTCTGTACTCTGGCACCTCAGTGGCAAAAAAAAGCCCCAACTACCCCTTATCTTTCACATCCATTCCTGATTATTCAATTGTGTCACAAACAGAAATTGCCCAGCTAGAGACATAAGCAGGACTTAAAAAGTAAGCACATTTTGTAATAGTGTTGGAGGATAATAGTTGTTGGAATGGCTTGGAGAACTTACAGTCATTTTCTTCCCCTGAACTTTTAGCTGAGTCTTCAGGTGGCTTAAAACAGTGCTTTTAAAAGTTTCAATGTAAGTTGAGGGTTTCTAATGGAAAAACCTCCATATTTGCTAACCAGACGTTTCATATGCTGATATATAAACATACATGGTTGTCAAGCTACATTTGCCCTGGCAAAGGCAAACTTCAAATTTCTAGAGCAGTGTATATTTCAACTCTTGACCACAGTTTAACATTAGTGTATTTTTTGTTACTTTTTAAAACACTACAGTGATTAATGACAGTGAAAGAAACACACTGCATGTGTTTACTTTGATGTGTTTCACATGAACATGTTAAAATATACACACTAAATGTGAGTTTCAAAATTTAAAACAAAAAGCGAAACAAAAAAACCCCAAAGGAACTTTTAGCGCTCACTTGCTCTGCTTTCTTCATGCATAAATTTATGAACACTGGGAATGAGTCCAGCTGAGCCCTAAGTTACATTTTGTGTAACGTGAACAATTAAGCAGACAATCCTCCCTAACATAGGTGTTTTCAATGAAGTTCATTTCTTAATTTAGTTGATATGTTCTTTTCCTAACCTTCTAGTAACATGTTGTATTTATCCATCCCTGCTAAGCCTGGAAGACACCTGCGTGCAGGAAGAGCTCAGTGTAACAAAGCCAAGGGATACAAGTGTCCTGTCTCTTCCTCATTAGCCCTCTGCATTCCCTACCCAGATCACTGCCCTTCATCAGTGTACCTATCCCAGGCTCAGCACCCTCCGCTCTGCTCCTCTGTATATGCAACTTGGCCCTGCAGCTGCCTTAGCTCAGCCAGTAGCTCTTCCCCACAAGAAGAGAAGCACAGCTCTGTCCATTTAGTTCTTCGGTCCTCCCCAAGCTCCATGGGGTTCATCACTACACAGAAGACAGCACTAATCATACCCTAAAGAACAGTCTGAGTTGCAGCCTTTGGTCCCACTATCTCATGCTGATGGGATTGGAGTACATGTCACATTCTCCACACAGCTGCCACAAAAGATGTCTTACCAGAAGGGATATGCATATGTGCATACACACAAGAAAAAGGGAAGGAGTCGGCAAAGGCAAAAGTGGTTCCTTTGCGTTTCTGTTACCTTCATTTTCATTACATGTAGGCAATACTCCATTTCCAAGAGCATCTGAAATATATTTTTGCTACAGATTGGCTCTACTAGATGTCAAGCTGGCAGAGAAAATGAGGCAATTGAGAGAATGCCTGTTGGAAAACTGGATGCAATATTAATGGGTCCTTAAGGGCAAAGAAGGCCCTATTTATCTGAGTTTTAAAACTTCATGACTAGGAAAATGCTGAGCAAGGGATTTTTGAAGTTAGGTGTCCAAACCTAAGCTGTGTGTGTTCTGGCCTTTAGCCAGGAAAGGTAACTGGATTTCTTTCATGTCATTACATTTATCAGTCCTTGTGCTTGGGCAAGGATCTATTATAGCTATATAAATAAAGACTTCTTAAAACACAGTACTGTTGCTATTTTCGAGCAAACCAAAGAGTCAAACTAGGTAATTTTTGTTGTTGTTTGAAAATTCACATTCAGATAAGAAATAATCCTACAGAAAAATTTTTTACTGTGAGAGTGACAGAGCACTGGAACAGACTGCCCAGGGAGGTTGTGGAGTCTCCTTCACTGGAGACATTCAAAACCCACCTGGATGAGTTCCTGTGTGATGTACTCTAGGTGACCCTGCTCTGGCAGGGGGGTTGGACCAGATGATCTCTTGAGGTCCCTTCCAGCCCCTAAGATTCTATGATTCTATGATTCTATGAAATAAGCAGACAAAAGGGCCATGACTTTTATGTTTATTTCTAAAGGAAACCATCAGATGACTGCCACTGCACTTTCTACAACAGTTTCCATAGCTCAGCCCTGAGAAACTTGTTCATCTACAAGAATAACATATGAGAGAGGGAAGACCTTTCTGACTAAATATTATACTCTCTACCAACTGTTTTACAGCTGTAAGCTGCAGGTAAAACAATCAGAACTGATCAGCTTACTAACAGATGTGCCACTACAGCATGCTATTCCCCTAGGACAACATCCACTAAAATGGCACAAAACACTAATACAAGGGTACAGAGGATCTCAATTAATCTTGTCCTAAGAAGGCATCTCAACAAGCAAGTCACACTCTAAATTGCTAGGGAAGACAGATGACAGGCACTTCCAGGAGGCAGCTGAACTCACCTAAAGCCTAAACCCACCTGTATTATCTCCTGCCAGTATTTGCATCTGTCTCCATTGAGCTTACAAACACCTCCAGCAATGCAGAATGAATCCAGGTGCAGTAGTGCTACAGCTATACCAGAGGAGGGAGTTCTGAGGTAAGCACAATGCATGATATTAAATGCCAGCACTGGGCTGTTAAGTCTACTTTGCTTAACTTATAGTCTACTATTAACCAAATTACACAAAGTCTATCTAAAAATGAGGGTGATACACCCTTTAGCTGTACTGGAGTATACAGACAGAACCTCAGAATCCTGCAGCTGAGCAAAAGAAACTACAAAAGCTTAAACAAAGCTAGACATACAACCAGGCAAAATCTATAAAATATATAAACAGAACAAAGTGAAAATGAACCAGCTGTAAAAGGATTTCTAGCAATAATTTCTTCCACAATGGACAGATATGAGGCACTACTGAATCTAGCCATCAAAAAAAAAAAAAAGTGTTAGCTGGTACAGCAACATGAATACATTGGAAAATAACATAAAACTCCTACTAAGATCTATGAAACTGTTATGGATGATGCAAGGTCTATTCACCTTCTTTTTTCTTAAAATGCTTATAGAATACTATATATAACAGACTAATATCAAGTTATATGGAATTCCCATGCAAAAAGCTGCCAGCCAAGCAAGCAAAAAAGCTGTAAATATCTGTCAATTGCGTAAGAGGAAAAAACCCTCTGAGAGCACAAATTTCCCTACCACCATCACTCTGCAAAAAAACAGGATTATTTTAAAGTCTGGAAATATAAAGTTAAGATTTCATTTAAAAACAGATATTAAACCATATGTCACCTACTCAAGTCTTTTCCATTCCCTTCTTAACTTCTAACCATGCATGAAAGGTGTGTCAGATGGAGACATTATGATGGAGCCCATTAAATGGACATTTTATGGAAGACTTAAAATATGTAGCCTAAGGGTACAGATATGTTAGATCTAACAATCATTGTATTTATGTTCTTTTTAGAACCAGTCAACCCTTAAGTAAATTGTTTTAATTCAGTGCCTGTGTACTCTGCCCTGCAGAACGCACTGAAAAAAGCCCTGTGAAAAATAAGTAAAAAATTCAGTACTTTATATCACCCAAACTCTTGACAATTTTTATAAGTTACAATGTAATTAACTATTAGCATAATTAATTAAATCCGGTATGCACAGACTCAGGATACAAATTCAGCAATGGCTTCAAATGACCAAAGATCACAGGTAATTGAAAAATGCAGTCCAACAGTCTCTGCTCTCTCTCTGTTGTGCATCTCTGCTGCTTTTTTTCCATCAGAACTAGTGATCTCATGGTCAGGCAGCAAGTTGGCTACATTCACTGATCTGGCTGAGAAATCACTAGTCACAAAAAAAAAGAAGTATTAATTTTTACCCAGATCAGTAAGCTATTCTCACTCACCATATGGTTACACAATCATTGGAACAAATGGACAGAACCCATGGCAGGAGCAGATGGCTATGACTGTAGCCTACTCTATAATGTGACACAGGGGTCTTTGACCAGTGTAAGTTAATTAGAAAACGAGCTCATATGTGACTTTATAGAGGTGGGAAAGCAGGAGATGAACCACAAGACTACACTGTTGCTTCCTCGGCTCACAATACTCTCAGGGGAGAACTAAATGGCACACAGCCCAATTAATCTCTGTAAATAGTCTCTTCTGCAGGTGCTTACATATAAGGTATGGTTTGATTTTTTTAACTACCTTCTTAGTTGTTTCTCAGTTACATTAACTTGATGTTACCTTACCACCTTATCCTCCCCTTGAACATACATAGTACTAGCTTCAGTGAGGGGACTTTTAGCATGCCTGTTGGAAAACACAGAATGTCAGATTGGCAATCACAGAATTTTTTTATTTGGTGTCCTAAGTAAAAAATGTGTAATGTGACATAATTTACACCCCTTAAAGTCTTTCTGGCTCCCACTTCACCTGAAAATCCTACAATAAAACACAATTATATGTAAAAATGGAACTGTTTTCAATACTGAGCAAAATTTCACATGGAAACGTTACTAGGTGGTTTGAGTGGAAATGTTACTAGATGGTTTGAGTGGTTGTTTGCTCCGGTACACAGACATGCAATACAGCTAAATATTCAGACTTCTGAGAACATCTTTTGGCTTCCCCTCTGCTGGCATAGGTCACTTCTCAGGCCAAAAAAACACATTCATGGACTCACTGGCAACAATAGACAGTACTGATTCACCCGTTACTGAAATCTAGATCATGCAGGGGTCTGAGTTGAATGAAGGAGAGGTCAATCTTGACAAGTTCAAGAACAGGTTATCGCTCAAAAAGATAAAAACTTCAGACTTCCCTTCTCAATATTTATAGGGTCAACACTGGTGCATCTGTATTACTGGCTGAATCAGCCCTATTCCCATGTGCAGAGGAGGCCTTAGTTGGCATAAGCTGGTCTCTTCCAAGCCAGATGGCAGAAAGCAGAAGTAGGAGATGGTGTTACACATTAAAACATCTCTTTTCAGTTATTTTATTTGCTATGCTTCCTTCTGGCTCCTTAGCTTGCCAGTTATATCTGCTTTATACACAGCTGAGCTCAGTATGCCTTTTAAAGAGATGACATACAAGAAATGGTGCAAATTACCAGCAGGCTTTGTTCAGGAGATGCACATGCTAACTTAGGGGGAGGTTAAGTAAAATATGCCCATGGAGTGCTAACTTCTATAATAAGCATATTCACTTTCACCTTATTAAACAGGTATATAAATATGTGCACATATGTTTTATAATCCTTCTAATGTTTTCAGTCAGCTGTAAAAAACCATACATATTTGTTTATTGCAAATATTCTTTTCAAGTTCTTTATCCAAATTATTCTGGAAGTACTAACGCTCACATATCCTGCTCAATTTTGACATTCATTAAAACTTTTTAATCAAGCCCATTAACAGCCCAGCAGTGTGGTCTACTTTGTAGCAGATAAAATGAACTGGTTTTTAAATGGTAAATAAAAACATGTCTCAAAGCGTTAAGTGCAAGGTGTGAGAATGGAAAAAAAACCACAAACCAACAACACAAAAGAATTGCCTACTTCAGATTTTGAAGCAAACTGCTTTTAGACATTGAGTATTCCACTGCTTCTTTGGCTATGACCAAAATGTTCAAGTCAAATGCTTCCTCTTTTGTTGCATGGAGACAAAGGTTTCTTAGTCTCATTTGAAAGAACAAAGGATTAATTTAATGTGTGCTGATGCCCTGTAGTTTGGCATTACAGTCCATTTATTTCTGCCTCCATCTGACTTTTGCTATATACTAGATTTGTTCAAATAACATGCCAAGTCTAATGTGAAACTGCTCCTTCTATTTTTAAATAAGTAATTTCTAAAAATAATAAGATGGTTAAATTTCCCTCCCCCCTTACAATCCTTCCAATGCCGCTCATATGGCAGCTCCCATAAAACAATACAAAAGCTAATCAGTTTACCATTTAAGAAAACAGTAGACTGAAAAAATGTACTCAACTAAACTTGTCTAGTTCAGAAAACAAAGGTGGAAAAGAATTTTCAGTTTGCAGCTAACCCCTACTAATTTTCCTAACACAGACAAACACAGAACAAATTAAATACAGCAGTCCTAACTTCAGGTGTAGAATAGAACATCAGACTTAGACAACTGCCTTCAACTCCTGAGCTCTTTGGTAAAACCCGTGAAGGACACACATAGTTTAGTTCTGACACAACACCCCTCCCTGACAAAGTGTACTGAACAGAGAGTGCCCTTCACACCCATCCTGTAAGCAGCCACTGTGACTTTTGGTAAGACCAGTTTGAAGCCATTACATATTTTTTTTTTTGCTATGGAGTCCAGATCAGATCTATGTCACACACAGTGACTTTATCACAGTATTTGAGGGTTTTCCACAGCCTTGTTCTCAGAACTCTACAATTAGGTGTGGTCTCAGTATTATTTCTCTCTAGAAAATAATTTCTAGTTCTTTTGATTTTCATAGAAAAAATTAAAAATGGTAGTTCCATGGGCCCAACTCACAAAGCAAGTAGAAACCCTCCACTCTGCTCCTGAGACCCCACCTGGAGTACTGTGCCCAACTGGAGCCCCCAACACAGGAAGGACATGGAGCTCCTGGAGCGAGTCCAGAGGAGGGCCATATATATGACCAGAGGTCTGGAGCACCTCTCCTACAAAGACAGGCTGAGAAGAGCTGGAGTTGTTCAGCCTGGAGAAAAGGAGGCTCTGGGGAGGCCTTCCAGTACCTGAAGGGGCTACATGAAAGCTGGGGAGAGATTTTTTTACAAGACCTTGTAGTGAGAGGACAAGGGGTAATGGATTAAAACTGGAAGAGGGTAGATTTAGGCTATATATTAGGAAGAAATTATTTATTGTGAGTGTGGTGAGTTCCTGGCACAGGTTGCCCAGGGAAGCTGTGGAAGCCGCATCCCTGGAAATGTTCAAGGTGAGGTTGGATGGGCCAGTGAACAACATGGTCTAGTGGGAGGCATCCCGGCCCTCCTGCAAGTTGGAACTAGATGATTTTTAAGGTTTTTTCCAACTCAAACTACTCTGTGATACAATCCTATATGCACACAAAAAAATAATATTTCATTGGTTCAGGTAGTAAGATTTTTTTTTAAATGTACATGAAACGCAGTGTACAATGTACAGTAAACGCAGACAGAACCTTCTCTGCTAAAGTACATAACTAGCAACTTTCTAGTTGTATGACGTTTAGGTTTCAATCCTCAGGAGCTACTTCTTTTCCCTTTTACCTGTTCAGTAGCTACGTGAATAAAACAGGAAGCTTGTACAGGACGCTCTACATTCTCAAGGATAACATGGGTAATGGAACATCCCTGATTGTCCAACTACTATGAGAAATGCAGAAAAGAACAATCTGGAAATGACCATCCACCAATGAAGTCTATGTGGGCCCTTCAGGGCTTGTTAGCACTTTGGTGTCTCTACCACGATTTGTCCAGACCTTCAGATTTGGGAGGTCTTCTTAACCATAGACGTCAGTTACCCTGCACAAAGCAAGTTCAGACCTGGACTTCCAGCCAAGCTAATAAAATTCCCTGGAACATAGAGCACAGCACAGAAACACCCAAGTGGGTCTGCACAGAGCCAGCTTGGGTCCATCAGGACTTACTAGTTCAGACACTGTCTGAAAGCAGCTGCACTGCTAAGCTGGTCCTGGAAATAGCAGAGATGTGTTAACATGGCACAGCACTTGAACTAATAAACTTAGTGCTGAGCTGAGCCTGCTCTAGGCCAAATCTGATGCCTGAGTATTCACAGCACAGTTAATCTGCAACTGGAGACTCTGCCCAAAGAGCTGACTTTTCAAGCCCAGCATGCACAGCTCTACCCTAGTCACATGCCTCAGTTTTCTGTCCTTATCACCTCCCTCCATATGCCCAATTCCTTCATCTACTCTCTTCCTGTTTGTTTTCTCTCTTGATTATTCAGATACATTTCTCAACCTTCCTCTAAATGTCTATGATAAGGCTGTACAATGAATACCACTCTCTCCTCATCCTACTTTCTACACCAGATCAACAATCCCCAATTCTTCTCTTGACTTCAGGCTGCCCCTTTTGTCCTGCCTTTGGTGTTTCAATCCCTAATATAGGAACAATTACGCTTACAAAACCAAAACATGATTATTTTATTAGTATATTAAATCATCCTGCCTCCATGGAAAAATGTAAAAAGGTAGCAGCAGAAACACCATCACAAGAGCTTTCATCAGGACAAGGGCAGACTACCATTTCTGAAGGTAAAATTTGCTACCTCACTTAGAAGTTGCTTACCAGCCAGCTCAGATACGACTGTGGCTTTCCTTTCCCATTCCTACTTGGACTTTCTTTGTCTGACTCGCCCATGTCAAACAGCCTCAGTGCCTTGATGTGGCAAAGGGCTGATGAAAGCAAAGACTGCCATCAGGCTGTTGACAAGAAAAGTGAACAAGGAAAGAATGACATAGCAAAAAACGAGGATAGGCAAAGACTGACTGCAATGAAGCACAGGGTGACTGAACATCAACTGCCCCTCAGCTCAGGCAACTCTACTTCCCCGTCTCACCTTCACCCATCTCTATGGGTGAAGCCATGCAAAATACCCGCTGAGCTGTATGGATTGTAGCTTTGTTCTTCGATGTGCAGGCATGAGATGCACACCAACTATCAAAGTTTTACAGTACCAGAAATACAATGACAGAACTAGCAACTTGAAAGAGAAAGTAACAGTTCGGCCCTCTGGAACAACAGCTCAAGAGGGCTGGGATAACACACATCATTGGTAAAACAACAACTCCCACTGCATTACTCCTCTAGCCATAATCATGACTTCAACAAACACCACGGGCAGTTCTACTTGACAGAGGATATTTCTTGTTTGAGCTGCTTCCAGAATTCTGAAATCAATATGAAAGTCTCGAAATCAGTAAGGAAGTTGAAATTTATCTCCTCAGTCATCAAATATGCTCTGAAAAGCACAGTGGCAATTTATTGTCTATGCAATATAACATAGTGTATGAATGTATACTGAAATAGGAAAATTAGTAATAATTTTATAAACTTCAATACTAAAGCAGACAAGCATACTCTGCTCACTTTCTATGGCAATTAGAAAATTAAATCTGCCTTCTATTTAGCTGCTGTGTTCCAGATATCAACCTGATCTTGTCAGGGACTGAAATCCAGATAAGAAAAAAATCTCACCATTCTCTTAGATGTGCTTTTTTACACAGTTAAGTGCTTCTACATGTCACATAAGCATCAAAACCATGGTCAGACACTTGTGCAAAATCAGACAGATTCTCAGAACAA